TACCTGAGTTTCATTAAGGTACCTCACATACAATTACCAATCTAATGGAGTCAGCCGAACGTTCAAAACTTCTGATATTAGTTATAAAGGGGCACTGTTGCAAAATACACTCTCTTATTTTCATTGATATAACTCACATATTGGGTGATATAATACTTATAAGTACAAGTATATGGGCACTAAGGGAAGTATTGACACGATTCAACTCATTTTCTATATTCAGACACACTATTATCAAAAAAGGAGTTTTTTAACGGCTCCTATAAAGCGTTACTGTGCGGTCCTGGTTGAAAAAATTTATTGCCTCGGACGCATTTAGCTAATGATTTATCGCTAGTTTAGTGAGTTTAGATATACACATTAAACTCGTTAGGGGGCGGGGCCATCCTCATTTTTGAAAAAAATTTTAAACCATTTTCGGTTGTGCCAAATTTGAGTTCTGTATCTTAATTTACGGATAATTAATGGCACTTTACACGTTTTCGATTAATGGCGTTTTGGCAGTGGTCCGATTACGCCCATCCACGAACTCGTCCTTACGTTTTGTCAAGACACATGTGCACCAAGTTTCATCAAGATATCTTGATTTTTACTCAAGTTACTGCGTGCCCGATTAGGCGGACGAAGGCAGAGAGTCACCCGAATTTAAACCCGTCTCTCTATCCTGATCATTAATATACCATATACATAACCCTATATCTATCTCGATAAGCTTTGGGGGATACAAACACAACCAAACAAAATTATTATACCCTGAAGCAACATATTGCAAGAGTATAAAAAAGTTAGTTTGGCGTCGATATAATAACTGCATCACCTCTTTATAGCACTTCAAATGAGCAAGTTCCATAGTACGTTATTGGACATTGTAAGATGTCTAATACTAGTAAAAAAATTTATCAAACAATTGTTCTCATTTTATTAGCTTTTAGAAATTAAATGACGATCCATTCTGTAACCAAAAGAAAACCCATTTATAGTTCATACCATGCCGTTAAAATGCAAAACGAAATAATTAATGAAACAGCAAAAGCTCAACAAGCACAGCTGAAGAGGCAAAAAATATTGTTCTCGGGAACCTTTACTAGTAAAGACAAACAGAAAACTCGCTCGATTTTATAATTGTATTATCTGTGAAGTACGCTGTATGTTAAATATGTTCACGTAATTTTGTATACCGAGTTTGGTAGCAAATTGGTCAAGCATACCCATTGCTCAATTTTTCCTTTAATTGCTCGTAGGAGTATTAAATGAATTTTTTTAGAGGGCAGGCCCATGCCCACTTTTCAAAACACAATTGGCCTTTTCTGTTTTGATTCCCTGTACACAATTAAAGTTTCGTAGAATAATTTGTGGCATAGTTACGTATTTTATAATACAAGTATTATGCTTGTTCCTGCAACAAGCATGGAGATTGAATGGGGGAGTGTCTTTTCAAATGACAACCTCATTCACTCCCGTAAAATCTTGGTGACCGATGTTAAAGCTAACAAGGCACTGTTGATGAAGTACATTGGCGGTATATTCCTACCTTTCTCTGTACAGGTAGACCTACGTGCTGGCTGGAGTCCCGCTGGCAGCCCATTCATCTTAATAATGAATGAACAGAAGTAATGCTTTTAAATTCCATCTAATTTGATCTTTATACATATGTATAAACCAAGCACCAATAACCTTATCAGAATACAACTTATGACTTCAAGGTATCGCTATACCTCTCCTCTAATTAGAGTCAAAATTGACCCATAACTTTTAAAGCTCCAGATATTGAAATCTGATATTTTACCAAAAATATAACCAGCGGTCGACGAATTGCCACATGTACTATATTTGTATATAATAATATTTGTTTTTCTAGTAGCCTTTATGTTGTACATAGTTGTCAATGTGTGAGTTTTCAAAATAGGTACTTCAGATTTTTTAGTTGAGTTTATACTGTTTATTTTGGCGAAATGTATTTAAACAAGAAAAAACGTTAACTTCGGTTGCACCGAAGCTATAATACCCTTCACAAATACTAAGGCTCCTTACAAAAACCATGCACTATTTCCATGCAAACACTATACTCCCATCGTTCAGTTAATATGGCAGCTATATGCTATAGTCATTCGATCTATGCAATTTCTTCTGAGATTCAGATCGATAGGTTTAAAACTGAGAGACTTGTTCATATATAATATATTGTATACACACAGACAGACGGACATGGCTAAATAAACTCAGCTCATCATGCTGATTTTTTATGTATATATTTTATTAGGTCTCCAACGTTTGCTTCGGGGTGTTACAAACTTGGGGGCAAACTTAATATACCCTGTTCAGGCAGTGAGATCTTTATATTAGTATCTAAGAGCTCGAATATTTATTTTCCAATGTTGATTATTTGTAGACGGGAGCTGTCACACCTTGAAGACTATATATGTACATATATTAAAACTATATATCTACATATGTACATATATTAAAACAGCTATGTTCACGGCTTGAGCATCTCTGTTTTCATATGCAACACGCATCGTTCAGCCGTTGCTGATCAGACGACCACCAATTACGAAGCAGTATACCAACGCTTAAGTAAGTTTAACAGAGAGAGAATTTAAAAAATTTCATATGAAATCAATATTCATCATTAGTATCGAATCAGTTAAATCGAAATTGAAGCAATTCAGCATTTAAAAAAACTAAACTTTTGTTTGGCATTTCGACTGGCTGGCTTATTGTTGCTAGCCTAAAAAGGTGACGATTTTACAAACAAAATAAATAGCTGAAGATATAAAAAAATAAATAAATATCATGCAAGTACGGAAGGGTTAAGTTCGGGTGTAACTGAACATTTCATACTCTTGGAACTTGCAAGGGTCAAATCTGTGGAATTTAGGTGTAGGCAAAATTATATCTCAAAGAATTAAGGAAGGGCTAAGTTCGGATGTAACCGAACATTTTATACTCTCGCAAAGTCAAACGGTATACTCGTTTAAGATTTTTTTATACTAAATATATATATATTTTTATTTTGCTTGATTTGAATAGTGGAAAGTGAAAGAATCAGATGGTATTTAAAAAGGTGTTAAATGGGCAATAGGCGTGGTTGTAATCCGATTTCGCCCATGTTATATACAGAATTTGGTTAAAATCGGTTAAGCAGATCCCAAGATGTGGGTTTTCACCTAAAAGTGGGCGGCACACTGTCTAGTTTTGAACGTGGTTCATATTAAGTCATCTTATACCATGTTAAGAATACAATTTAATGTCTCTGGTGGGTTTAGTGCTTGATTTATCACGCTCTTAGTAGTTTTTAACAGTACCGTTATATGGGGAGTGGGCGGAGTTGTCACCTGATTTCACCCATTTTTACACTGTCAATAGACAACAGTCTTATATCTCATTGTGGAGCTTATTTCTGGCAATTTATTGGTTTTTTATTAATGACGTTTTGTAGGCGTTGCAGTGGTCCGATTACGCCCATCTGCTATACCAACCGTCTTACAGTACCAAGAAACATGTATACCAAGTTTCATAAAGATATCTCAATTTTTACTCAAGTTGCAGCTTGCATGGACGGACATGAACTCGTCTCTTCATCCTGAGATATATATATATAACTCTATATCTAACTTGATTAGTCTTAGGTGATACAAACAACCGCTAAGTGAACAAAACTATTATACTCTGTAGCAACAGGTTGCGAGAGCATAAAAATGTTGCGAAAGAATTCAACATTCATTGTGAGAGAAATCAATATATAGGGTATATTGGGAGCAGTAAAGTTCTGGGCTGATTTCAATAACATTTGACATTGCTAAGTTATATTCAGCAAGATATTTTCAAGCTTATTTAAATGTATAACCCATACACTTATCGACATATTCAGCTCAGGTTTTGTTAGAATAGCGAAAATCATTATATGCTGTATATAGGGTTTGGGAAATTCATAGTCCAATAGCACATATATTCGGCATTCAACTATATTATGTTATGTCCAATTTTATATGTTAATTAATTTTGTTAAGATATTTTACATATTGGCCCATATATACGGTATAAAGACAGCCGGCAGATTGAAAATCTTATATTAGGTATATGAGAGATAAGGGTAGTACTGAACCGACTTTCATTAAGGTACCATTACGAATATAAAGGGTGATCCAAGTGGAGGTACTTTTTTCAATAGCATTTGTTTTTTGGCAGATTACGCATTATACTATGTTCGCACCGAATTGAAATCCTCTTGAAATTGGATTGTGAAACCAAAGACGTTCTGACCGACATTGTGTGTTTTCGATGAGTTTTCATTGACAGTTCACACATCTATTTGTTTACATTTGTTATGTACTCTACAAGAACAGTGACGGTCATCTGATTGGTAATATGACAGTCATAGCTGAAAAAATTTTGTCAGCGCGCAGAACAAAGTTTCTATCATTTTCTTAAGAGCCTTGTTTTCTTTTTGTTTGTTTGTTTTGTTTTTTCTGAGTCATTGCTGACCATAAATCCGTCATAGCTGAAAATTGTCAGTTATGACTGAAACGCTATCAGAAGTGAAAAATACTTTTGCGCAGTAGATAATATAATTTTTATTTCTTTAATAAATTTCGAACTTTTAATCAAAATTAGTTATAATAATATACTTAAATATAAAAAAGAATGCAAGAAAAAATATAATAATATATGAAAATATAAAAATAAATTTTCACTTGATGCCATCTCCTCCTCTCAATAGCTCTGCGTACGTCTTTCTCCAATCAGTGGATAGTTCTCAAAAAAATTCAAAAGTAAATTAACAGTACTGACATATGAAATGTGAGTGTATTGGTGAACCCATCAGCAGTTTCTTGTAGGGTACGTTTAGGCCAATTATGGAATGTAAATAAATTGTCAACTGACATTTAGGGCTGGCAAAATATGTCTCCTAATAATATCGATTAAACTAGAGCAGGCACCGATTATAATCAGTGGAATGGAAGTTTTCAAGAGGTTTTCAGCGAAAACTGTGTTTTTGTTTGACAGATTTTGTATGGATGAAAACACAAGTTTTTGCGTGAAAACCTCTTTTGTCTATGAAAACACGAATTTTGTGTCGGTGCGAACACAGTATTAGCAGTGTCAAGCTGTCATGTTATTTTTATTCAGTATTGTTTGGCATTTCATCATGGAAAGACTGACGTCTGAACAACGTTTACAAATTGTTTAACTTTATTACAAAAATTCACGTTCTGTAAACAATGTGTTTCATGTATCATAAAAACGTGTATAGGAACTATATATTGTAATATGCTATTGCAATAGCATATTGAAATTAGATGCCACATTTGCGTATATGCATATATAAGTAGATACATATATTTCATATTAATATCATATTACCACGTAAGGAACATTTTTTAAACTATGCCGAGTCGTTGATGTTGACAAATGACGAGTCTGCACAACGGCTCTAAATAAATTAAGTGAAATGTAAGTTTATAAGAAGTAGAAAGATTATTAATAAACTAGACGGTAAGCCACACAGTACGTTAATTATCCGTAGTATTTTTAATCATATTATTATTATTAAAGAAGCAAATACATAATTGACGCAGTCGACGTTCCGCGGCCCAGTTCGGAAACAAAAAAATTAAATAAAAAATAGTTAAAGTAAAAGCAAAATCAAGTGCTGTGATTTCAAACTACAAAAAAATTTTATTTAACAATTATTTTAAATATCGGCATTGGAAGCTTATACACCAATTCTCCAATGCAGCAGCAAGCAATTCAACAACTTAACAGTAAACGCAAATTCAGCGAATTGTAATATAGCGAAGGTGCAAAAAAACTAAAAGCTTAATAGAACTTTTTCAGAAAGTAGTAAAGTTTAAAGAGTGACATATATATATAAACCCCAGTGTGATTCCTGAGATTTTCCTGCTAAAAACCGTACGTCAGTCGAAATAACTGCAATAAGAGAGTTTTATAATAAACAGTAGTAGCAGCAAGCAACAGTAGTAGTAAGGGCAATACAAAAAATAACAGCATTGACAATAGTAAAAGCGGCAAGTGAATGTTATAGATTCAAAGCATACTTTTATAAGCTTATATTAATTTATATTATATAATATTAGAGGTCTAAAATACAAGTTTCTTTAGTCGCCATTACCCAATTGTGGCAACAAAACTCCCAACAACAAAATATAACATTTAGGCAAAGAGTCGAAATGGACTTGAAATATCTAGGTCTTTTCGAAGGAAATGTAAAAAAATTGCCATCCTTCATTGAGGCTATTGTTAGAGTACGAAGGGACTATGTAGGACAGGAAGAAATAGTTTTTAGAGTGATCTATGACTTAAAAATTGGTGGTTCAGCAAAAAAATTTTTGCAAGCAAACCCATCTCAGGATAGGTCAACTTGTGAAGCTAAATTAAAACAGCACTTCAGGGCAACAAAAGGCCAAACAAGATGCCTTTGACCAACGACATCACCAATCTTAGGGTGGGTAGTATCAATGAACTTAGTAGAAAAGCTAAAGAAATAATTGATAATGTGACGGAATATTGTGCTTTAAGTGAGTCAGGAAATATAATGAAAGAAATATTTACAGGAATGCTTATACAAAAAATAAAACAACTAGCAGCAGGAACATTCGCCTATATGGTACGAAATTTAACGGCATGGACAGACATGACAAATACAATCCACAATACAATCATAGGGCTGGACGATGGAAATTTAAATTCTATTTTTAACAAAAAATAGAAATTCGGACTAATTTTTTCAAAATACTAGAAAGTTTAATAGTAACAGAAACCAGAATAATCAAATAACAAACAACCATAGGAGACAAAATGGTAGTCAGAAAAATATTGATCGTATCCAAAGTATTGTAATTCAGGACAACATCCCTGTAATAATAATTATTATTATTCACAAAAGAGTTCGGTACGATACTTGCAAAGAAATACAAACTTTTCAGGGCAAAATAATAATCGCCATAAACTAATTCAGGTAATTCAGGTCAAAATAATAAATATCGTAGAATTAACGGCTACGGTAATTCTGCAAGGCAACCTGTACAGAATGGCACTCGGCAATCAAGACGCTCAAATGGCTCAACACCCTTGGACCCCAATTAGCCTCGGAAAATCAAAATCAAATTTTAATTTCACTTATTCTATTTAATAAGAAATTGTGTGCATTAGTTGACCCAGGCTCTACCATAAGCATAATGAAAAGATCCGGTTTCGAAAAGTATAAATTACCAAATAAAATCAAAAATAAAACAAAAATTAGTACACTGAATGGAGAAATAAGGTCGATGAACGAAAGAGTTAAGACACCATGCCCACTAGCATTTAGATAGTCTCAAAATGCTAGAATGCGATGGTTAAAAATGGATTTTAACAAGCCATACGACCTAATACTGGGAAATGATTTTATATTTAAAAATGTGAACACGATAAACATTGAAAACAAAAAAATTGCATTGAGAAATGGGGTCAAGCTTCGAATACCGTTGATGATGAAATTAGAACAACAGCGGTCGAATATTACCCAATAATGAATGCTGGGTCTCAAGATGGGTGATGGTGTTGCGAATAGTACGCTCAGTAGGCGGATTATGTTGACCATGAGTTGAGCGAAGCGCAAATTATGTATTTACTTCTTTGATTAAAAAAACTACGGATAATTAACGTACTGTGTGGCTTACCGTCTAGTTTGTTAATAATCTTTCTACTTCTTATAAATTTATATTTCGCTTAATTTATTTGGAGCCGTTACACTGACTCGTCATTTGTCAACATCAACGACTCGGCATAATTTAAAAATATTATTTACGTGGTTATATGATATTAATATACTATATGTATATAAATATATACACATAGTCAATAAAGTCTGCGTTCACCCGACACATTTTTTAAGTGAAGTAAAAACACAATGTAAATAGGTAATTCATTTCAAATTTTCTGCATGTAATTTTTCTTTATATTCTTAAGTTCAAAATGCAAAAACAAAAATGTATATTCCTATTTTCATTTTTGTGATAACGGGATTTTAGTGTAAGAACAAGTAAACATAGCACCATTAAGTCTGCGTTCAGTTAGCTTGAATTGGAAATACCGTTACTTCTCAAGAATTTGTTCGTTCTTTTTGCGTAGATTCTATTGTGTTTTAATATAACTAGTCGTTTAAAGAGCTCGTGACACGTTTTAATAATATTTAAAAAAATGGAAACCAAAGGAAAAGAAATTAGTCTGTCGGAAAGAAATATTATCATTAAGTTGTGGAAAGATGGCGAACGTTTCAGAAAAATTGGACAAACTATAGGTAGAACGTATTGTTCTGCCCAGCGCATCGTAACCAATTTAAAACAAGTAAGGAAGGGCTGAGTTCGGATGTAACCGAACATTTTATACTCTTGCAAAGTTAAATGGTATATTCGTTTGAGACTTCTTTATATATTTTAATAACTAGAAGTAGGAACTGTTGCCTTAGTTATTTACTTTTCACTCACAGGGAAAATAATTAAAGCAATTTGTAAACTAAATTTACTCAAATTATGAGAAATCGTTCTTGTGCTTTTTGTATACTCTTATAATTGCTTTTATATAGAATGCATTACAACTGTATTGAGACATTTTTTATAATAAATAAAAATCGATATTAATATACATGTTTAGCTTAAAAATAATAAATATTAACAACTTTAAAAATGATATAATATTATTATATTAACTTTTATATAATATTTACAATATTAAACATACATTTTTGTAGAGATTCTTATACATAATCCAAATTATATTTCTTTTTTCCTTATACTATTTAATTTCTATCATATATTTATACAATAATGTCTTATATAATAACAAATTATATATATAATATAATTTAAATTTTCTTAATTAGATTATTTACATATTTTTCTTAAAATTGTCTTAAAAGCTACTGTCAAAATTCCTATACCATTCCAATTCGATTATATTTGGAAAAAAAAATGAAGAACTATTGCACTAAGTCTGAAAACTTTAGTTCGAAAGAGAGACACAAATACTGTCATGATAGCTGTGTACTGTCTCAAAAGTAATTGCATTTACACGGGAAGGATGCATGTTTGAAAATGCCCAATCAATTTGTGTACCGGCAGGTGTAGTTGAATATTTTGCATCAAGCAGGGAACTAAAGTTTTTTTCTTGGAGCAGATTTCTTATTGCGGTCCCTGTAGACATTAAACAAATGTTAAAATCTCCAGCAATTAGCACATTTTGATTGCCTAACTCAGAAGTAAGGACTTCCTGAAGTTCTACAATTAATTGTCTGACAGAGAAAGCTGAATTTCTATATAGAACCAGAATATTAAATATTGAAACATTTAAACAAACCGTTCTAAACTTTGCCATAATACATTGTCTTTACAAGCCTTTGATTCTATAGAGCAATACTATGCTTTGCATATATTATAATGCCCGTTTATTTTTGTTGGTTGTTTCGTGCTATCTATCCTCAGCTCGTTAATTGGAGTAAATCCTGGTATATCAAAACTTTCGCAAGGATAACTCAAGTTTCTACAAACATAAATATCTAAAGATAGCATCAAACAGTCGCTTTTTATATCATTACTGTGAGCGTGAAGACTCTGATTATGTAATAAAATTTGATGTCCTGATGTTCGGGAATCATAAAATTGAAACTTGTTGTAAAAGCTTTATTTGTGTTCAATTCTCAGTTCCCTAAATACGGGATCGATTCAGAAATTTGTTAGGGGAATAAATTTCCTATGATGAATAGACCTTCTGCAGAAGTATGCGACTACAAGCGACATATATTAAAAGGTCGAGTATGAACTACAACTTTATTATATGTGGCTGATTTTTGAATGTTATTCCCTCAGCCGGAACAATGGAAACTGAGTTCTTTAATTGAAATTTGTTCATTTTTTTATTTGAAAGATTTTAGAACTTTTTCAATTGGTGTCAAGAACTTTCTAGAGAATGAGGTTTTTTGATCGTGTTATCAAACCAACAGAAAGGTTCACAATTTAATCTACAGAATTGTTGGAAAAGGGAATTGCATATTTGCATAAGTTGTCCAGCTGCCATTAACCAAGCCATCACAGGTGTTTTGTTAATGTAATATATATTTGGCGGAGGTTTTAGTGTCAATTCATAAGGCAGTCCCTGCGTTTCAGAAGTTTTGAAAGCTTAACTCTTTCAAAATATTATCATTTTCATTCATACAATTTTTTAACTGAGTCTTTTGCAGTTGAAAGGAAGCTTCTGTTGGGATTGACTGAGCTTAAGGGCATTGAATTATTTGTCTCTTCATTGTGGATATGTCTCATTTGTCATAGTACCAGATGCCATATGATTTAATGTAATTGCAAGGCCTGATCCCTCCTTGTCTCATTTCTCTCTTAATTCAAGTATTTAAATAACTCCCACAAGGGGAACCACTAAGTGCTTGTATACATATTGGGATTAGGAGAGATATCGCCTATCTCAACAGGTGAGAGTTGGTTCAAATATCAAAACCTACGATCGGTAACAACAGAAGGGACTGTCTGTTTTGAAAATTTGTTTTAATCTCGCATCAACAGAGCTAAACATACGAGCACTCATCGATATTTCATCATTATGATTAATTTTAATCGATAAGTCTGGAATATAATGAATTAACTGTGTCATTGCTAAGTGGCCTCCAACTCTCTATTCAATGATTAACAGGTAAGAGAATATTGAATGAAGGGTCATTCCCTATTTCGAATGCTGCTTTACCCGTAGGTGCGCAAAGAAGAACTTTTAAGGAATTGGATTGAATCCAGGTGTAGAATTGTAACGATGGTTAAGGATGGTATATTGCATATATAAAGACTCTTTCCTACACCTGCACCGGCGCCAATGAACTCATAAATGGGAGATTTGTTTTTAGGTGGTGCATCAATGTGTAAATAGGTTCTTTGCTTAGTATTTAGACTTTGAACTAAAGAAATAATTCTCAACTGGAATTAAAGGGGGTAGTTTAATAAGTCTAATATTGCAATCAGATTCAGTGCCATTATCTGTTGAATCTTCGCCAGCAAGTCAGCAAATTTATATTTGGGTTTATTTCTGGAAGTGCAACCATCTGAATCATTTTCCACGATAGGTAGTTCATTTTTTGCTCCTTCGTCTAAGTCTATTTCATTATAAAGACTTTCAGAACATGTTCAAGTTCTCTTTGCTCAAAAACATGATGTTTTCTTTGACTTTCCTCAGTTAGAATACGATGTGTTATCCAAGTCTGCTCATTATCGTTTTGAATGAGATCTTGCTTTTAATTTTGCCATGGAAAGTGAAGCATTACCGTTTCGCGGAAATATTCAACTCGGGCCAAATCGGGGTTAAACCTTCTATACCGAATTATACAAAGTGTCAAGTACAATTAATGAATTCTTTTAAGAAATATATCAAAATACTTTATTAGTAATAATTTAAAAGTATTTTGATATATTTCTCATAATAAAGTAAAAATGAATTACATTAAAATAATTTAAAAAATAATAAATAATAGTTCAATAAAAGGGAATATATTTCAAATGGCATATCAATATGCCCAGTTTTGCTCACATATTATAATCTCTTCAATATTCGTCGGTTGGTTATGTTAAGAGAGCGTATGTGTACAGATTCACCGCTGTTATAAAAGCGAAAAATGTTATTTGTTTCTCGTGCATCTGTGGTGAACTCCTTGATAAATTCCTACAAATTGTTAGCTGTCGAACTTGCACCTTCTCATTGTTTTAAGTTCTCTGGTTGAATCAAGTTTTGAACAAAGTTTTCGTTTAATAGATTTTGGGCCGTAACTCGGTTGCGACCTGAAAACTTTCTAAGACAAATGGATGTACTATTCTTAATTTGCAGCAGTTCTAATTTTTTGTAATCATAGAACAATTTTGGATTGGTACACGCTCTTTTGTCAAAACGGCGAATTTCATAACGTATTATCTTGTACATGTACGCTTCTGCCCAACGTTTATTGTTCCAAATGACAACTCTTCTGAACTATTATCTTGAATTATGTCAATTGGTCTTTGTCCTTCACCTGGCGCTATAACTAAACGGTTATAGTCTAAGTTTTCTACAGGAATATTGTCCAAAAGGGTTTCTTGGCCGCCTGGATTTAGCTCTGAATGTAAAAGACCCGTGGGAATATTATTACCTGAGGAAGAGTGGCAACACTTCAAGCTCTTAAGCTGTAATTTTTTGGCTGTGTGCATTTGTGTTTTTATTTTAAAAAGGTCTTGAAATTTAATTGATTTTTTTACCGTGTTAATACAGTTTCTAGTGATTTAACTCTCAGTTTCATGATAAGTATTAAAAAGTTTAAACTTTCGAATTTTTTGTGCCGAGTCAGTTTTTTGTTTCATTTTGTTTTATTTTATTATATTTTCTCTCTTTATTTATCTTATTTACTTCTTTATTCACAGCTGTGTTGCGTTTAGCTTTTTATTTGTTACAGTCCTTCTAAAACTGCTCGCTATATTGCTTTTTCAAATTGTCTTGGTTTTAAACTTTGATAAAAAAAAATTGTTCTTAATTGAATTTATTATTAGTAATATTTTATTATCACACTAATTTATTATTTATCTATTAAATATTGTTCTACTTACTCTTTTATTTGATCTTAATTCTTGTGGTTTATTATGTCTTGTAACTTCCCCAATTGTAACATTAAAGGCGAGTCAGATCGCTACGTTTCATGCTGGCTTTGTGATGGGCTTGCCCATATTAAATGTGCTGGACTGACAGTTAGAATCTTAGATTCTATTCTCGACTGTAAGGGATTGCGTTAGTCCTGTTTAAATTGTAGATCTATTGAAATCGATCTATTTAAAGTTTATAGGGAGACAGGCAATGGCTTTAACGAAATCGGTCGAGATTTTGTAATCCTCACTGAAAAATTTAGACA